AGCCTCAGCAGCAGCAGCCCCAGCACCAGCGACCGCCATTGCATGGTCGCCGGCACGCATAGTTTGAAGGGGCCGCCCGCTTTCCGCGGCAGCCCCCTCCTCCGCGACGCGTCGCCTTTAAAACGGCGGAAGGGAAAGAAGGGCGGCGGCGGGGCCCGCCCCGCTCCGCTCCTATTGGGCGAGGCGAGGCGGGGCTTCGGGTATAGGGCGCGCACGCCGTCACTCAAGGGCCGAGCCCCGGCGAGGCGGCGGAGGGGTCAGGCCTGGGCCCGGTCGCTAGGCCGGGCCTGGCACCCAGGGGCTCAGCGGAGAGCAGGAGCGGTGGTGCCTGGCTCTCGGGGCTAAGGTGAAGGGTGGACAAACAAGAGGGTTTTTTTAAAAAAATAAATTAAAAAATCAGGTATTCTGGTAAAGTTTGTAATCCGTGGCTCCTGCTGCTAGCATGGCCCAGGCCCGCTTACCCCACAGGCTGTGACCGGCGGCACCGAGGAGCGATCCTCCATCCATGCCGAAGGGACGACGACGACGAGCCTTCCTCCTCGCCTGAGGGGAGAGAGAGCGAGGGACAGTGCGGTGGAAGCCACGTCCCGCTCTTGGGCCGAGAAAAGCGGGGGAAGAGGGACGTGGGGGCTTCCCTTCACCCAACGGCAGAACCGACCCACGCCAAGGGCCAGGTGGAAGAGGGAGCAAGGGGTGCGACCGCAGCAGCGCCGAGCACGTCCCAAACCAGCCCTTGACGGGGCGCTGGAAGAGAGCCAAGAACAGGCTGGGAGGCAGCTGGAGCTTTCGGAAAGCAGCATAAAATGGGAAGGCTGACAAACGCCACTTGCAAGTTGCAGATACGAAAGTGAAAATAAGAGTCAGGCAGTACTGGTAAAACCAAAACCCCTCAAAAGACGGTCAAAAGAACAGAAGAGTCAGTAAAGAAACTACAGCTGGGGGAGGTCAAGAGGAGACACATACCTCTCGGCTACCCCAGAAACCTGAACAGTATCCCTAGCAACGGGTTGTAAGCCTGACCACTTTATCACCGAACTAAGGACTGGTGTTCACTCCAGCCTTGCATCCTTTTAGCAAGGAAGTGCATGATTCGTTACAAAGAAAGTTGATAGAAATAATAAGAAAAATCCCTACGCAGGGAAAAAAAATACCATTACCGCACACAGACAGGCAACCAGACAGTAGTGATTTGTCTGCGGCCTGGATTTTATACTTTCTATTTCAGAAGTCAGATCTTGCTCTTTGTTTTCCATTCATTGCAACAGAAACAGTAGAACAAATAAATAAATTAAAAAAAAAAGTCACAATTCAGTGGTCCATCAAGACTTGTGTACGCTGACTCCTGTTAAAATCCTCTAGCCTGCTCAAACATAGCAGCCTGAGGTTGCTCTTTCAGTTCCGTTCCTTTCCTCAATCTATGGAATCCATGCATCTTTTTTATGTTCTTCCCCTTATGTACCAGAAATAGTATTATTCACACCAAGAAGGGGATTCATTTACTGACTTTAAAAAATGAGGAAAATTCCTCGCTGTTGAAAAAGACTGAAATATCTTTCCACATCCCAAGTTAACACAATTATACAGAAGCAACTTAGCAGTTTACTTCACTCTGAGACTCTTGTGAGAATCAAGTCTAGCTTTAACTTCACACATAACAACAGCTTTTTCTTTCTCAGGTATTTGCTTTGTTTGTTGAACAATATGGTTTATGAACTTCTACTCAATAGGTCTTTTCAGAGAGAAACACAAATGAGACCAACAAATACTTTCAGGATCCAAAGCAAAGCTTTAGATAGAAATCATAGTTTCACAGGCCAACTACTAGGGAAGTCGCCCCCCACTGAGCACAAGGCTTACAGTCAGTATCTCAAGATTAAGTTAAGCAGTTAACGCTCCTACCGGTTTCCACAGAAACCACTCTCTAACACAGAGCACACACTGACCAAGCATTAACCAGGCAACAGCATTCAACTACTCTTTTTTTTTTTATAAATGAAAACATGAAATTTAGAATTAGCCTCATTCATATACTCAAGATCACTGTTTTATGACAGTGTTTAAAACATGAAGTTTCCTAATTAGGCCAGGCAAGACTTCTTGAAAGACTTATAAACTACTTGAATATATCTGCCTACATGGAAGCAACACTACCTACTCTCCTCACTGTTAGAAGAGTGCTTCAAGGGGTTGACCCGTTTGCTCCTCTCACAGATGATCTAAAGAATTAAATTTTAGCATAGAAGTGTTTAGTTTAGCTTGAGCATAACAATGTTTCCCACAATTTGGTAATGAGGGCTTCTTATATATTTCTGACAACAATAAAAGCAGCTGTACTACTACAGATGAATATGCAAAAGAATGGTTTTCAACAACACTTTATTGAAGCACTTCAAAATGATCACAATGATAGATGTTGCCTTTAACAGAATAAGACCTGTAATGTCATAATTAAAAGGCACTAATCCTGGCACAAAGGTCTACTTACCCACCTTCCACTGTGACGAAAATAAAAACATCAAATATTTTACTTCTCCTTTAAAAGAGTATGTGCGTACCCCCTTTGAGTGCCATTCCCTGTTTGTCATTTAAGTGACATGTAAAAGAAATTCCCCGATGTTTCACCAAGGCATACTTTAACATTCAGCATCTGTAGTCCTAAAGCAATAGACTACTACTCATTGAAGTAGACAAGTCATTCTACACTCACGTTTTGGGAATAGAAGTCCTGAAGCACATACCAGTCTCAGGCATTCACACATTACTTCCCCTTTAACACGATTCATTGCTTTGCTGTTCATGTACTCGGCAATGCACCACTCTTAGCAAAATAGCTTAAATAACCTGATTTACACCCCCCTATTTGGAATTCACACAGCGCTCTAGTCAGGGTCAGTGCAAAAGCAAGCCAGCAGGGAGCAGTGCTAGGGCATGCGACCGGGAAGAAGCGCATTTCTTTCACATTCAGTAAACACGCACAAAGCAAATCATGACATGCCATTGCACAGCCACAGTAACTATAAAATTAAACCTTAGAAAAGTTAAAAGCTTGATAATCCAGCTAAGACATACTTCAAGTTATTATAGATCCCTGCATAACATTCCTATATTAATTTAACCAGAGAGACTGTTTAAGGCATTTTCTTTGGCCTCCTTTCTTCTACCAGAAAGTGAAGATTATGCAGTTTTATATGTCAGCATCCAAAAAGGACCATCTTTCCAACCTGTTTCCATAAAGGTGCAAAGAGAAAACACAAATCGATAAGAAACTAGATTATTAGTTCCACAGATCATGAAACAGCTCCACATTTGTGCATTTTTCATGTTGCCAAGTGGTAGGACAGAATTGCTCTGTGCAACTGCTACGACACTCAGCTGTATTCGGGGTGATGATGAGTTATGCTGCACTGTAATTGCACTTGAAGAAACCACCATCCACACTAAAGTTGATAGGACATTAACACTCCAAGGAAAACTTTCACACAGCCCGGTACTGTGGGTGCACGCACAAACATTTCTTCCTAGTCTAGTCTAGAGACGTGCTGCTCTACAATCAGTAAGAGCGATCGCTTGTACTGAACAAAACCACCAACAAGTATTTAGAGTTGATGGCTATTTTAAAATCATTGGGACACCATACAGTACCAACACATCATGAGGTCATAAAGGTACGACTGGTGTCTAACTTGCGTGCATATTCATGACCAAGAGTTCTCTCCAGCTCAGTATTTGCCTTTTCACAAGATCCAGCTTTCTTAATATGCTAACGGTCAAGGCCTACTGCAGATACATCAGAAGAGAGTTTCAGGACTACAGCTACTGATGTTTAAGTACAATAATTTATGTTACTAAAATGCACGCCCAAAAGCAACTTTTGTTTAGAGAATGGGAAATTTAATCAGTTTCTTTTTACTGTCTAGGGTCACTACAGAGCCTGAGACAAGTAATCATCATGAGAGATTAGACTGGCCCAATAGACTTCTAGAAGCAGAACGCAGCTATAACATCCAAGTTCAGCAGACAACACTGCTAATGCCTACCTTAGGCTCCACACCTTTATTGGAACAGAAAAGCTTTAATCTTGGACTTAACTGTGCCAGATAAGTAAGCAGTCTTTTCAGCCCAGGGCTGAAAGGTGGCAAGAGCAGCCTCACTTCTCTGGAAAGACTTACTACACCTCCCTTCTGTTTCAAAGTGAAGGTAGTTGGAAAGCTAATCAAGCCCTCAAACAGAAGAAGTGTAAAGCTCTGCACTGGATTCAAACAGTCTCTTCAAGGTCTACATTTCTGCCCCGTGAGTAACTGAGGGCATCTCGAGCTGTGCAAGAACAGCTGTGAAAACCTAGGCAGAGTCATTTCATGAAGTAATAACAAATGTACTTTTTAGAGTATGCACATCATAGGTGGCCAGTGTAGCTTTCCTTGCTATTTACATGTAGAAGTAGAAGCTATTACTTAAATACCACATCAAGCAAACAGCTGTTGGCCAAGTTCACACCACAGCTGATTTAAGTGATTAGTACTGGTATCAGACCAACAAGGGTGACAAATCTTACAGCAGTAATACTGTTTTCAGATTTTGTATCTAGATGCATTTTGCTTTGAATGTTAACTCCAGGTAGCTTGTTTTGCACACAGGAAACTCCCCATCAGTTGAAGAAATACGCACATGATGTTTTACTCAACAGTTCATTAGTCCTTCCCACCAGCCGAGCTACACGTGATGGATGCTAACTGACCAGTACTCAGGCCTAAAAACTAACCCATTACAGCTCAGTAAGTTTGAAAGCTTACATAGAGGCAGGCCACGAACAGAAGACATCCAATTTGTTACCATTACTTGGAAGATGTTGACGTATGGTCCTATACGTTAATCAGTGACCCGAGAGAAATTAATGCAACAAAGCATTTGGGAAGAACAGTCAGTGTTAACTTCAGATTAAAATCACAACAAAGATTTTGTCCAAGACCTCTGTCAACAAAAGCCTCGCTTTCCAATGAGATAAGAATCTTTATGCTTTAATTGGCAGTCAATGATCAGGCACTGCTAGATCTGACACTTCTGCTAGAAAAGCAAAGGTTTTACTCTAGGCTTGATGACAAGCAACAAGCTTGTAGACACATGCATTTTTCTCCTGAAAACAGAGCTCCAGAAGGCTGCCCGTACTTAAGACCCTTCAGCTGACCAGTGCTTTTCATAAACATAAAAAAGCACTGAAGTCTGCCGAGACTGACTGACTAAGCTTGCTCATGCAACCTGAGAAAGCCCCAGGCCTGAAAGGTAGTTTTACAAGCATTTCATTTGAATACTTGAACCACATAATATTAAGAAGCTCAGGTATTTACCGAACCTTCTTCCCCCACTGTAATCTTGTGGGAGAGGAGACAGACATCCAAAAATGTATTTCCATGAGTTAAGCCACATCAACCCAAGTCAGTCAGTTAAGTGTCAATACAACCCTCAAAACATAAGTTTATTGAATAAAGCTGAAGAGCAGTAAACCAACAGATGCATCCACCTAAATAAAAAAAAATTCACGTATTTACAAAGTTCAGTAATTGTATAAGTTGTTCACATGCAGAGAGTAATGCACAGGTTAACAATTGGTAGTGTTTGGATGCCATAAACGCTGAAAGCAGTGAAGTATATAAACACCAAACACATCAAGTTTAGCTATAGGCCAGTTAACTAAACAGTGACCTGGTCCCCCACAAAGATTCACACATTCTAGTTTAGTTTCCTTATCTTAGGCACAAGCAAGTTTGCTAAATAAAAGTAACTGTAGCAGTTCCTGGTGAACTAGGGACTACAGTAGCAAGTTAATATACCCTCTCCTCTACAGCACCAGAGTATGAATTAATTGAAATCATGCTTCAGAGAACTGAAAGGGGACAAAAAGTTAAAATGCAAGTTCAGACTGAATGCAGGCAGCATGTAGTGTCTGTGCAACAGTGCGATCGTTGGTACAGAACAGTAAGGCCATGGCAGTCTAAATTAAAACTGGCTTGTCATAACTGATATGGACTAAACAGTTTCCAACCAAAGACTCCGACATAATGCAAACTACATTTAGGTGAAGAATCACACACAGTGTGAGGCAACACAAGCAGGTGCACCATGTATTTGCATACACTAGTAAGCTACACTGACATTACTGTATGAACAAACCAGTCTTAACAAGTCTGTCCCTTTAAATATACTGAAGTCATTGAGAAAGTAAAGCTACAAAAACATTACAATCTTTAGTTTATACATACTTCCCTATACTGTAGGAGCTAGTCAAGAAACAGGATCAATTCATTGGCTCTCTTGTGCTTTGACACAGTAGAACATTTCATCTTGCAACTTACAGACTTTGCACATGGTTACATCAAGAAAGCAGGCAGGTCTAGAGTTGTCACAATAGCCTAGATATTCCATAGCACCAGGTGAAACTGTGCCCAGCCATTTCATGAGCAGGAGACACTAGACGATTACATAGATATTGTGCTAAAGGTCAACAACTGACTCTATACAAAAACATCAGTAATTTAAGTGTCATGCAGCTGCTCAGAATGTGTGTTCTGGTTTCAGATAGAGACCACTGGTATCTGTAGATAGAAAAATGTATTTGAACAAAGTCTGATGTTCCTAGCAATTTGTTTTCATGCTGGAATACTCCAATTTTTGAAAGCTTGACAGAACAGTCCATTCCCATCCCCACACACAAATGTTTAAACAGAAGCAACAAAATGATTTTAAACAGTCGACTCTTTCCTAATTCATCATGAGAATTTTCTTTTTCAAGTGACAGGATAAGCTCTCAGCTGTAGATTAGTGATGCTGATCTATGCCTTGTGCTCCCCTCTGCAAACAGCTCCCATTTCTCTGCTTACATACACACATCACATGCATTTGTGAGATAAATCGGTATCCCACAACTCACGCTTAAATGTTTTCTAACTACTGTATGTGGCATCTTACAGAATCTTAATGCTGTCAAGCATCAGCATCTTCAAGCCACTAAACACTAGAAATAAAACACTTGCTGAAAATCATATAAAAACCTGGCCCTGAAAAACCAGAACAGAGTGTACCATCATAGTTAACATGGTAGAGAGATTTTTTCTTTTAAAAAGCCCCCCCAACCCTCCCACCATAGATGGTTGTAAAATAAATATTTGTGCTGACTTTATCATGACAACTCTAGTTGTTTTGTGACAGAATAGGAATACAAGTCTTCAGCAGTGCACATGAGAAATGAACCGTGAAAAGGCAAGATTCTTGATACAGGATTTTTGGGTAGTATCTCATTATGGAGGGAAGTGGACAATTGAGATTATGGCCAACTGGTACTGGAGATTCCAAGAAGACTTCAGCTTCTTCTAGATTTTGAATGCTGAATAAGCCACTGAAGCGTGATATCTAAAGAGAGAGAGAAGAGAAGTTCCATATTCAAGTATCTGTCTGTATTTGTGTAACTGGCATCACTTTGGTATGCCAGTGTCCTCAAATACATGACAGGAATATCCAGCCCTTCCCCAGAGGATGGTCCAAGACAGATCAACAGAATGATTTTGTGGAATGCTTGCTGTCTGTGCTTTGGTCCTGTAACTGCTCAGTGTCCTTTAAGTAACACGTAAAGGAAGTGCCCCGGGCAGCCTGGTTCCTCAGTCAGCTACACCTCTAGGAAAAAGACATGCCTTAATCTAATACTTTGGTATAGCTTACATAATTAGTTGTAGGTCAACATCGCTCTATTTAGCCAGTCTGCCTCTCCTCACCTGACGAGAACAAAGTTAAGCCCTACAAAGCACCAAGCTCCTCCATGCTTGAAAGAGGGTCTCCTAAGGAAGTGAAATGCACTAGCATCATACCAGCCTGATGCTTCCAGCAGCACCTTCCCTATAGCATCAGTGATGCTCAGCTGTGCTGTGAGCCTTGTGCAGGAGATAGAATAGAAAGGAGTATCTGCTTCTCTTATCCACCATGTTTGAATCTTTAACTGATGGTAAGGTAAGAGGGGCTTCTTGGATAAGAAGCCAGAAGACTTCCAAAGGCTGTTCATTTTTCCTTGGAAGAAGTTGAGTCCTTAATATAAAGCAGTTCTGGTATCCTCTATAGCCTGTTCCTGTGACCACCAGCCTGAAGTTTCCCTCATCAGTAAACTCATGTAGGCCCACCAATGAACCAGTGTTAATCTCATGGCAGCACAAGAAGGCATCAGGAGAACAATGGCTACCATTGTTAAGCAGTGTGTTTTCATTCAGTTGAGATTACTCAGTTTACTTATAATACTTGTGTCAAGTACTTGGTATTACACAGTACCATGGTTTCTGCCTTTGACCTCCAGAAGTTCTAAAGCAATTAATATCAGCACCAGAAAATTTACTGTTTGGCTGCATGGAGTAGTGACTAGCATAGGCCACAACATGAACTGCTTTGATAAGACAGCAAGGGAAGATGATTATTTCAAGGGAATGACTGTTGAGGGAAAACTTGCTGCAAGTACTTGCTAGCCTCATGAAGTGAGGCAGAACTGAAAGTACCTGACATAAGTATAAAATCATTTAGGCCAAGCTAATAGTGAGACTGGTCAGCTATTTGCTGCAAACTAACTGATGAAAGGCAGCAGACTTCACAGGAGACTGACATATGTTTTGATAACTACAACCCCTACAACTTTAATACCAGTCAAGCTTCCTCACTGCCATCAGGAGTTATACTAAATTTAACCAGTGCACCTACATATTGTTCTTTGATTTGTTACCAGTTTCCTGAAGCCAGGAAGCTTGTGTTTAAGAAGTTAAAATCCCCCAATCCATCCTCTGAGAGCTCTTCAAAATGCTTAGCATTTTAGGTTAATAGTTACCTATATTATCTTTCTCTTTGCAAGAAATTGAGTAGCAGCAGATTTCTCTGTCCTGAATAGCAGCAAGGTTCCTATGAAAGAGAGAACATTTCAACATACACTTCACTTATAACAAGGACTCTTATACTGAGAATCTAAACTGTTCCCCTTCATCTTCTCCAGGTAACTTGTTCCTGTACAATGTTTCAGCTAGCTCCTGTTGCTGGGTTTTCTACTTACAAATGCAAGCTTCTTGATCTAACAACCCTATGTACATTAATTCATTTATTGAGTTAAAGTAACCTTTCTTAGGAAGGGTTAGACTTACATCTTTTCAATTAGCTGTTTCTCATCCAAAGCATTAGGAAGGTCTCTCTTATTTCCAAGTACTAGAACCTGAAATTCAGAGCAGAAGGAAATAGTTGCAGCTTTGCTTTAAAACAAAAAACAACAAAACAACAAAAACAAAAAACTACCAAAAAAACCCACACACACACCAAAAAAACCCCAACCAACCAAACACAAACACAAACTTCAAGGGATTCTGACAAGCAGTCTGCACTAGGCTATTAAATCTAACAGAATGAGACATTCACTATTAAACCACATCAAGGAGGAAGATTGACCTAATCCCAGGGAAAGAGGGGGTACAAATAACCTGTTACGCACAAAAAGCAAGCATGAGAACACATCAGCTCACAAAACTGAGAACAATCCCAGCAGACTTTCAGCTGAGATTCCCCAAACTTACTCTATACTTCTGCACTACAGTCTAGTTAACCTGTACTATAGTAGACTCTAGAAGAGAGCACAAACTCATAGTGGAATACTCTAAATTACTGTTCCAATTTTTTTTTTTTTTTTTTGTGGGTACTGAACAAGAATAAGATCACTGAAGGATTGACTGAGGTCAACGATTTGATTTAAGGCACTAGGGGCAGGTATTGTTCATGGTTATTCTAACCAGTAAGGCTAGGCCTTATACTTCACTTAAGAGTTCGAGCCAAACTTCAGTTACTAAAGTTATGCACATTCCTCAAGCAAATTTAATACTGTGTAGGGCAATATTACTTACAGGGATTCCTTGTAACTGTGGCTTATCTAGAAGATTGTGCAGCTCATTTCGAGAGGCTTCTATTTTTTCACGATCTGCAGCATCTACCATGTAGCTTTAAAGAGAATTTAAGGTTAGGTCAGTGAGACTGAACTACTTCAGAAACAGCAGTCTTTTCTTTACGCTGTCAGTTTTGAGCAGATTCAACAAGGCTTTAAATAAAGCTAGGTCTTCTGAGCAAAGAATTTGGTTCTTTTAAAAAAATTCTCTAAGATCAGAGTAGATGAAAGATTCTTTCAGTTAGACAGCACTGCCACTCAGTTCAGACAGGAAGTAGTTAGTACTCTAGATCAGACACTGATAAGAAAATAACCCATCTTGAGCCCTGAACTTAAGGGTAAAAAAAGGTCAATATGCTTGCAGTACAGTTTCAAAAGTAAAATGAGTACTACCGACTCAAGCATGCACTGTTAGAAAGGCCACACACAGAAGAGAAGCAAATCTGAAGTTAAGTACAAGCTGAAGGAAGACAACACTTACACAATAGCATTAACTCCTCTGCAATATCGTTCCCACATGCTTCGGAATCGTGGTTGCCCTCCTATATCCCAAATCTTAAGGCAAGGGGAAAAAGACAGTTTAGCCATGCACTATGTTTAAACATGTCACACAAGATAAGACGAGAAATCAAAACACAGTCTTCCCTTTCTCCTTAGGCCAGCTGCAGGACCTCTCACATATTAGAGCAGAAATAATCCCTTGTACAGCTGATCAAAGCTTGCAGGCCCAAGAGCATAAGATGCAAACTAGAGCATCTTAGAGCAGATACAAGAACACACGTGTGTACCAAGTTTACACACTGTGGTATATAAGATATATTGACTTAAAACTTTGCTTTTGATGTAAGCCTTCCCTTAAGCAATATTGACGAGCAGAAGAGGAGGATCTCCGGGCCCTAAACACGTGAAAATTAACTGAGATTAAAGCCAGACAGCATTATCACAACATTGCTTTAACTAGTCCATGAACCTGGAAATCACACACAGATTCTCATTTAAGAAACCCCATAAACTTAAGTGTATTCTTAAGCTATTTGACAGGTTTAGCTGAGCCTCTTCAGTTTCCTGTATTTGTCCTAATGGCGGAAGCAAAACAGAGCAAACAAATTTTAAACTAGAAGCTGAAGCCAACCTTGCATGAGTTTAAGAAGAGACAGTCAACAATGGTAACATACCTTTATTGTGACATTACCCTTCGTAACTTTTCTCATGTTGAAGCCCACAGTAGGAATCATATCTTCACTGAATTGACCTGACTGAAAAAAAAGAAAGTTAAATTTAGTACTAATCTGATGCAGCTAGTTTACATAGTAAAATATCATAAGCTTTTTCTAACCATTTGCCTTCCAACTGACGGCTTCATAGCCAAGAAGTCATGGATACAATATTCATGTGCGTTGAAGCTTGTGTGAAGTCAGTCAAGTCATTTCTTACAAGCACTTAAATAATTTTTCAAGCCTTGGGGCAATCAGGGGAGCAAAGTTACTTGGGGAGAAGTGCTTTGCATAGCTTAACAGATGGACAGCCAGGGCAAGTATAGGAAAAGAGCCATTCACCTACTTCTGCTGGAGCAAAGTTCTGTACATCAGGACCTCCTAGTTACCTGGAAGCTAGAAAAATCCAGAAGATTTTCCTCTGATGCAAGCTACTCTATGGACAACATTTACAGTAATAAATCACTCCTGTGGAGTAAGCCTCCAACCCACAGGTATGGGTTAACTCCCTGAGGAATTTTAAGAGGCTAGAAAGTGGAAGGACTTGACAGGTCTGCTTCCTGCTAGGCTACAGTGTCCAACTTGTTCAGCAGCGGAAGAGGCAATCGAAATGCAACTGGGGAGTATTGCAGCCCGTTTCCACCAGAAGTTCAGCATCACTTTAAGTTCTGACATAACTGCTGCAAAACAGTGTTGTATTAGAGACCTTCTCTAGTGGCAGATGTTTTACTATCTGTTACACTTTTATCTGTAACAGCTTGAAAGCCAAGTTCACAGCTATCTCCTGTAGCTAACCCAGGAGCCATAACAAGTGTTATCAACAGTAGTACAGATTTCTCCCATGCTTCCTTGGCTATTTGGCAGAAGGTGGATCTCAGCCACAGCAGTCATTATGTATCTCACTACATCCATTATGTGTAATAGAACCAGACAGTCAACCAGATTTGGAAAAAAGGCCAACTCAAATGCATTCAGTTGTTTAATTAGGGTTCGATATCATAGCAGTAGAAAGTCTGCTTCTCTACCCTAGAGAAGCTAGCCTGAGTTAAAAGCCCTTTAGGAACTATGAAGCAGACGTCGCATCACCCTACAGAGTTAGGGCCCAAATGCTCACAAACTGGAAGTAGTAACTAAGTCTGACTCGACATGCTTTGAGCAAATGCTGTTCAGAGTTTACAACCAGAAGATGATCAGTTTGTAATACCAATGCTTTGGCATTCACTTCCATGCCTAGAAGCTCACACTTTCTTCAGCTTGTTCCCCCTACCTCAAGCCCCCCAAAAACTGTGATCTTCCACTAGCAAACAAAAGCTGCAAGCTTCACACAATACAGACTCCAGTATAATGCTGATAAACATTAGAAATCAACTGAAAACACAGATGATAGCAGTCACATTTCAGTTTATTTGGCCAAATCCTTCAGTTAAATGGCACATTGATCTTGCTGTTGACCTCCAAAACAGAAATATGTGCAGAGCTTGGATTTGAAGCCAGCAGTCCCCCGAACAGGTGGTGATTTTTCACATTTAAGATCTGCTTTCCAGATGCATGGCTATACAGACTAACAGTCTTTTAAAAGGAGTTAAAAAAAATAAGTCCTTGAATCCAAGGAATGCAGCTGTAAAAACAGTGACGACCTGAAAAATGGACAGCTTAAACCTCATTAGGCAGGTGTTCTGCATTCTCATTTGAAAGAAGTTTCAACTGTTTAAGCTACACAGAAAAGCACATATCAATCTCATGCAGCACTGTTTCAGAAACTACTCTAACCTTTCTGCTAACTTAGCAAGGTAGGTGCACAACCTGAATGCCTGTTCATTAGCTTGCCGTTCCTGCCCTGAAAGCCCAGTGTATGAGTTGTCCATTTCAGCCAGTTTATGTGTAGCTCAGCAGCAGATGGTTAACCGTGATTTCCATGCCTGATGCAGTTTAGTTCAGTTCATAAAGCATGCACTGCCAATCTTGCCTTTGAAGGGCCAGCTTGCTATGGTTGCTCAAGAACCACTGCATTCCTGCCTCTACAGTCACACCCTACACCCACATCTTCTAACCAAACATCTCCCAAGCACTGCTTGAACCTCCATCTCTTTGTGCTACTTCATATTACCCCATATGCTGTCAGCTATTCCCATTCAGATACTTCCAGATTCTTCACTCAAGAGCTGTTCCTATCAATAGTTCATGCTCTCTCACTGCTCTTTTAGGATACAGATTCCTTCAGATTGGAGCAGCATCTCATTTGCCACATGTTTAATGTAATGCTGAAGAAATTACTGTGATCCGCCACAAAGAAGCTTTTACAGAATCTTCAGAAAAGCTGCTGCATCTTATAGTACTTTCCAAGTACTCTCTATCCACAGTACACATTCATGTGGCATAAAAACTTGTTCTGACTCACTTAAAAACTACACTACAGTTGCTCAGTTACTTCAGTTTCAGCTTTCTGTACTCTGCTCTGTAGGCAAGACAAACCAGCACTACCTGACATACTTTCTGAACTGTCAGAAACAGAAGGTGTGGGTAGCAGGTGCTTTCATCAAGCTGCCTCCAAAACACAAGCATGCCCTTTCTCTCTATAGGAAGTCTGGAGGCTGTGGATTTGAGGCGAGGCAGGCACTTTATGCCTTTGAGAGGAAGACCTTACTCTCATTTAAGTGCAGGTGTTCCTCTGTTTGCAGTTAGTGTACCTAAAGAAAGCTACTAGCAGTCACCCTATCTTTTAAGACAGGTCAAAAAATGGTTAAAACAATTGTACTGGGTTTTGTTAGTAGGCAGTGATCTCCTTTGATAGGTTCTGCTATTGTATCCAACTGTCTTGGCCCAGAAACGGTTCTCTAAACCCAGAATTTAGAGGGCTTTTGTTTACTACCTCTACGGAGGAAAAAAAGCCAGGAATTCAGCTGCCTCTTCGAGTATTCATATGCGAAAGCTACTCACACACCAGAACAAGAAGAATATGCTTTTATTAGTAGGCAGTTCTGTTTGAATCAGACTTCCCTCTGTACCCCCTAGAGCAGATTACTCAGCCCTGTCACTGTGTGTTCACGATACAATGCTTTCTCCTTCTAAAATAGGCATCAGCTTTAAAACAAGTTTGATAAGCACAGAAATATTTTCAATTCCCAATCTGAAAGTGCTTGGCTGTTGTCATACATAGTAGCATTGCTCAAACACTCATCAAGGACAGCAGGAATAGTTGCTTACAAATCTAGCAATAGCATCTGTTTTCAGCACTTGTGAATATTCCAATAGGCAGACACTACTTCATCCAGGCCTCCTGGAAGATCAGCCTTGTGTACTAGAAGCGATTACGAATTAAGCCATTAGCTCTGAGGTCATACAGACCATACAGCATTAACACAAACTGTTTGCTGAAGGTCACAAAACAAAGCTAACTCTAGCCCCTATGTGAAAGATAAGAAAGAGGGAGACTAAACAGACCAAATTTCAAAAACCACATGCAGAAAGAACCTGCAGGACTAGTCTTTAAGACTCCTCATTTAAGAGATGCTCCCTTTTCAATACTCCCAAGCTCCTGGAGAACTCAAGCATGTGATTTTAGTGCAACATGAACCCATTCACCTGCCTGAGTACTTAGGTTGGATAATCTTATTCAGAGGAGGAAAACTGCTTCCAGACTGAACTAAGTCCCTGCACTGTAATCTAGTTCAGGGCCAACACCTACCTCCATGAATTGGTTTGGGTTCAGCTCACCTTGTGTCTAGTATTAACACTAACTCTTGTACAGACTGTAGCATTTATGCATTTCACCCTCCATCTCACTAGCAGATCCAAGTCTGTCGCACACCAGCTAACACTAGCTTTGGCGGATGCTCTGAAACACCACCACACATGCCGAAGCACAGCCACATTGACAAGCACTGCTTTTTACCTGTAACACTGGCAGACTGCTTCTCTGGGTCTGTGCCCTCTCCCTCAGCCCACCAGCAGGCCAGGGGCAGCTTTGCCAGCCAGCACCCCCAGAAGTCTTCCCTCAGGAATGGGCCAGCAGCATGCCAGTTACAGGTACAGTTCACTTCCCAGAGGCTAGGATCAGAAGACTTTGGACAAGCGTTTAACTTAATATCACCTAACATTCCAGAAGTGTACAAAGGATGCAAGTTTAGTCTTTTTTAATACTTAGTCAATATTAAAACGAGCTGCTTACTACACCTACCATTTCCAGTTGTCTTGAGTCAAAAAAAACCAAAATAAAACAAACTACACTCTGGCTACTTCATCTGCCTCTCTGTAGCCATAAGCTACAGCCAGAAGACTGCCAAATTCCAGGGAGTTATGCTTACCAGACTGTCAGCACCAAGCCCTAAGCAGCTTGATCAAGTAATTGAGCATAAGACTGGAATTCCTGCTTCCTGTATCTTCCTTAAAAATTCATTTCAATACATTAAAGGAATCATTAAAGGCAGAACTCAAACTGCAGCAGTAGAACTGGCGTTCCCTCTTCTTTCTTTCCAGCTAGAGCGGTAGCTCTCTCCTGCTGGCACTGGAAAGCATGCTGCTTACAATGGTCCATCCACATGGTCCTCAACCACCAACTCAGAGCTACCAGTCTTTGATTCTGCAACCTGCACAAGCAGATTCTTTGTATTGACAGAAAAGGTCAGGGCAGCCTTTAGCTTGCATCTCAAAGCTAACATGATTCATGACTGTTATAGGATAAATTTCTTCATATAGGCTCTGTTACTACACAACAAAGATTTTTATCTTTACTTGTAAAACTTCTCATCCATCTAGAAGAGATCACAAACAAGCTTAGCCAACTAGGAGACAACATCACTGGAGTATGAATTCCAGCCAGGACACTCCCAATCCACCTGAACCAGCATCCTACCTTAAGCCCCACTCTTCATCACTAAATTTCCTTCTTTTCACACCAAAAAAAATGCCGCATCTCTCTCAAATCTCTTCAATAAAAAAAAAAAATTAAAAAATCAGAGTCATTTTAGCATTATATAAAGCTACCCCTACACTAAGCCTCCTCTGCAACATTCACAGCCTCAACCAACAAGTGCATCATATGTGCACAAATCAACTCTCTAGTTTCTGTAGTCTAGCTTCCTTCTTGAAATACTTCAGTGTTTCAGCTACTTGTGATCACATTCAGCAGCTTGAACTTTAGTTTAGAAGCTTCAGTCCTTGTGATCTAACAGTCCTGTGAAAGGCTTTATAACAGCACTTCTATGAATGATTGCTGCAGAAAGCAAAATAGCTTATTCTGACAAGAAAATGCCTTTTTATTTCCCCAACCCTGACTGCAATGGAATATTCAAAAAGACATGGACTGCTTATCGTATAACTACCACTCAGCAGTGAAACAAGACCTAAAAAGGCACATTTCTATCTAGAAGTCAGTCATGTAAGAGCTTAGGTCATTTCATGCCTCTGATAGTCATGAAAGCATACTTCTCCAGATGTTATGGCTTAAGGCTCTTCCATTGCTTAAAAGAGTGCTATACAGGAAGACCACAATGGAAAAAGTAGATTCCAATTTCAGTCACCTGTTTCAGACCACCTGGGGCAGAGCAAGCAGGACCTCAAAAAAAAAAGTATTAACTGGAATATGAGTCACCTCATATTAGCTTTATTACCTAATGAAGTGAGGCAATCCACTTCAAGAGACTTCTGTGATTAAGAAACACTTCGCTTAAAAATGTATCAACCTTCTCACTTAACTACTATGTGTATGAAGTGACAACATAAGCTATTTATGACCTACCTGGGTGTTTCAGAAAGCACTAGAGCAGCAGTGAAGCTCTTTAGAACAATCTTTTTCTGCACTTCTCCAGTGTGACTTCTTTAAGTCAAAGTTACTTGTAATAGTCATGAGGACAGAAGGAAGTCACAGCTCCCAACTGGCCAAAGGAATTTTTTGTTGAGAGGCGCTTCAAAAAAATGCTTCTTTCTAGAAACCAAGGCCTCATTCAAAGGCTTGTCAGATATTCCAAAGTTAAAAAACAAAACACACTAATTCAGGCTTTGACACAAATCCCAAAAAGGGATCTTATTTATCCTACACCACAAACAGAACAGGTTCAGTTTAGCTCTTAAACCTGACAACTGTATCAGGAAAGTCTGACTCCCTCCCACCCCTGCAGTTCTCCTCTCCTGCCCGCTGAGGATCAGGCTATCAAGCTTCAGTGTTCCAGTGCCAAACGCCTGGATCAAGGATCAAGCTACTGGGCTTCAAGCAAGACTTCACAATAGGAAACACCACTCTTCCATGAAGTATTTTTTGAAACCGAACAAGTGTCCCATTATTCACCAGCATGCACTGCCCGCAGCCTGGAAGCAGAGTCAGTTTACTTGAGTCATGTTTCAGTTGCATCACATGGCTGTGGAGCTCGGTTGCCTCTTGTACCTCCCCACACCAGCATGGCTGGGACTCGCAGCTTTGACAGCAAGTCTGATGAAAGCCTGTTCACAGACACTAGCTGCAGAGATGCAAACGACAGAAGATACTGCAGACTCCAGTAAATGATGGGCATTTCAAGCCCTCAGATAAGAGGCTAACAATTCAAGATGCAATACAGGGATGACATGCAGTTTCTCTGAATAAGAGCCATAGGCCATCTACATTATGGAAATTAGGACCAGGAAGAAATGATATCCTCCCTTGTGAACAAGTTTACTCACGCACACGGAAAACTTATGCTTAATATCTAATTAGAGACAGTGACTAATACGGAGCCTTAGCGAAGCAGAAGCTGCATCAGTTGTATCCAGCTATAACTAGATTTCACTGCTAAGGTTGGTTTTTAAACCTTCTAGTCAAACTAAGTTTGGTCTGATTACAAACTAAGTGCTTGTTTACACTGGAGGAATAAATATCGCCCAAACCAGCTAGCAACCTAGAAAAACACTATTCTAGAACTGGACTGTCTGCCTTTCATGGCCTTCCCACTTCAGCGATAGTCAGGTGTTGCATCAAGCCTCCTGTGTAATTGGCTTGAGTTTTATTTCTAGTTACATACGCCCGATTTGATCGGCATAGATTATATTAGAGATTTATATTAGATTAAACTCACTGTTGCCAAGAGACTGGTAACAGCCCTTTGTTAAACAGAATGTATGTAGCCTTATAAGCCACACCAAGTTCCTGGTATGTAACCCAGCTTTGAGAGCTACTCTGTAGGACTAGCATCTTGCTGTGTCATTCCTTTCATTTTAGTTTTACGGAATCCCAACGCCTGACAGCTACATCCTTCGAAACCATTAACTGGCCTGCAGAGAGCAGTTACTCCTTTCTGGCACTCATTTCCAAATGCATACTCTGAATTAAAGTCAGTCAATGAAACAACTAACAAGAAGTTAGCTCTTCATGCCATGGATGGCACTACTCCCGTGAGAAGCAATATTGTGCTGATAACTGAAGCTCAAGCTATTTTTTTTCAAAACCAGTAATAAAAACCTGAGCAAGTCCCCTCACTCTGTTTTTTGTAAAGAGTCGCTAGATTCCCTCATTAAAAACTTCAGAAATGTGACTTGCTACTTCCAAACCTAAAACAACTAACTAGGCTGTATCATTACACATAACAGCTTCCTTATTTCACTCAGTTTTGCAAGGCTATTTGAATGACACTTACGCAGATAAATTTCTGGGTGTGATCCTAAAGTGCAGTTGAAACCTTGCAAGATTCAACCCCTAGGAAAGCAAGCTGGATACAGATGTCAGCTTTACTTAGGAGTACTTTTACCATTTGAGACAAATTAGATGGACTAAACTGATGTGCAACTACTAAAACCATTCTGTACTACTTCACATATCTGCACCACTGCTTCACAGATAACTCCCTGAAGGAGATGTGCTGCTGGTACTACACAGACAGAGCGGCAAAGCAGTACTTTGCCAAGTGCCATCGCCATCCAGGACTCCAGAAGACAAAAATCCTGCAGAGTAACCTCAGTGCCCAAAGTTGCATGAACACACCGATCAGTATCAGCTCAGCAGCCACAGACTGAGGTTGTTCAACAATTTCAGAGCTCCATTTTTAGAAATCCAAGTCCAGAGGTAGTGGCAGCCACTACTGTGTGTGAAAGAAAAAGCTTCTGGCATTCTTGGGTTAGTCTAGCAACTTTCACCTAACATAACTAGTCAGAGGAAGAGCTACTTTTTGTGAGGGCAGACCCAATTCACATCATTATCATAAAGCCCACTGAGTGCTAACATGCCCAACTACACAAGAGCTTGGCTACATTTTGACAGCTAGTCAGTGTAACAAGGATTAAGCATAGCTGCAAGAGAATGAGAGTCCTTTTCCTATCCAGTAACTTGTTCAACTGACACTTAAATAAATACGTTCATAAAAATACTCGGTAATATTAAGCCTTATAAAAAGGTGAAGGTCTGCTCAATCTAAGGTTGAGGACATCAGCTTTCTCCTTCTAGGTGCGCTGGACTCAAGTCAGTCATGCTCTCTGCAAAAGCAAAAGGTACCCTGGTTTCCCATTTCAGTCTCCCTACAAGGGCTTCCAAATTCCGGCTTGTCTCTTTGAATGTTTTCTGTCACATGCATCCACAGAACAGGACAGTGATGAAGCTGAACAAGCCACTGAAGCAGGCCACTCTTTTATCTTGTTCAACAATGGAAAAGCATCACGTAGGAGGATTCCCACACCCTTCCTTCATCTGCTCCAAGCAGATCATCAGATAAGCAGGCCCAAGTTCAGCAGCCTGCTGCTGTTAGACTTGGAAGTTGTACTTCTCAGCGCACACCTTAAGAGAAAGCAGATTGTTTGACACAGCTTTCAGGAGTCAGAATAAGCAAAAACTCTGAGAGAAGAACCGTGAGCGGGAAACATTTATATCATTTACTGAGGACCACTAGAAAAAGGTCAAATGGAAGAAAGCAGCTGAAGACACATCATGCTATCTTCACATTACGCAAGCCCAGCCACGCTAGTATGCCGACGGAAACAAGCCTTCGGCGCACACCGCAGAGCTCTGCTCCCACACGGCTACCGGCGTCTCCGCGGCCCCACCAGCGCACAAAGGTTGATGGAGGCACCCCCAGCACACGCTATTCGAGGCCGTACACGGCCGGCTCAGCCGCCTCTCCGACGAGCCCACCCAGCAAGGGCACACGTCCCTGCTTCCCACCCCCGGCAGCCCAACGGAGCAGCTCCGTCCCAGCAGCTCAGCCCAACGCGGGAGGCGGGCGAGACCCCCACCGTCTACCGGGGAAGGGGAAGAAAGGGAAGGGGGGGTGTGTCGAGCAGGCGGTAGCCGCGGTCTGCCGACACCAGGCCCCGGCCCCGCCTGGTCTCCAGCCCGCTCCCGCCGGGCCTGCACAGGCCGCGGTGCCCCCCCGCCAGGCCCCGCCGCGGCCTACCCCCGGCCCGGCGCGGCCCTCTCCGCTCACCGCGATGACGTTGACGAAGGTGGTCTTGCCCGAGTATTGCAGCCCCACCAGGGTGAGCTCCATCTCCTCCTTCCAGAAGAGCGAGCGGAACCAGTCCAGCAGCCGGGAGAGCAGCGCCAGCATGGCGGCGGCGGGGGACCGGGGTCTGGCTCTGGCTTCGGCTCCGGCGGCGGCTGCCCGACACCCGCGCGCTCCCACACGGCCCGGCTCGCCCCCGCGCCGCGGTCATATGACCGCACCAAGAGAGGCCGCCCCGCCGGCGGACCCCGCGCCGCCGCGCACCGCACCGCCCCCTGCCG